CTTTTCACAGCACTTACGGTCAAATGACGTCGGGCCTGACATGCCATCACCGCCTTTGTACAACACACACGGTCAAAAAACATTTTGTGGGCTTTACATCACCGCCCTTGGACTGCATGTACGGTCGGATGACGTCGGGTGTGGTATGACATCACCGCACTTGGACAGCACACACAGTCGGCAACGTCGGGCGTGGCATGACATTACCGCCCTAGGACTGCACGCACGGTCGGACGACGTCAGGCGTGGCATGACATGAACAACCTTGGACAGCAAACACGGTCGGCAACGTCGACCGTGACATGCTATCATCGCCCTAGGACAGCACACACGGTCGGATGACATTGGGCGTGGCAAGCTATCACCGCCCTAGGACAGCACACACGGTCAAACGACGTCGGGCGTGGCATGACATCATCGCCCTTGGACAGCATACATTTTTGAACGACGTCAGGCATGGCATGTCATCATCGCCTTTGGGCAGCACAAACGGTCAAACGACGTCAAACGTGGCAAGACATCACCGCGCTTGTACAGCATACACGGCCGAACGACGTCGAGCGTGGCATGACATCACCACCTTTGGACTGCACGCACGGTCGAACGACGTCGGGCATGGCATTACATCACCGCACTAGGAAAGCACACACAGTCGGCAACATCGGGCGTGGCATGACATCACCGCCCTTGGACATCACACACGGTCGGAAACGTCGGGCATGGCATGCCATCACCGCTGTTGGACAGCACATATAGTCGGACGACGTCGGGCGTGGCATGACATCACTGCCCTTGTACAGCACACACGGTTAAACGACGTCGAGCGTGGCATGACATCACCGCCTTTAGACTGCCCGCACGATTGAACGACATCGGCAATGGCATGACATCACCGCACTAGGACAGCACACATAGTCGGCAACATCGGGCGTGGCATGACATCACCGCCCTTGGACATCACACACGGTCGGAAACGTCGGGCGTGTCATGCTATCACCGCCCTTGGACAGCACATACAGTCGGACGACGTCGGGCGTGGCATGACATTATCGCCCTTGGACAGCACACACGGTCAAACGACGTCGGAGGTGGCATGCAATCATCGCCTTTGGGTAGCATTCACGGTCAAACAACGTCTGGCATGGCATGACATCACCGCCCTTGGCCAGCACACATGGTCGAACGACGTCGGGCGTGGCATGGCATCATCGCCTTTGGAGAGCACAAACGGTCAAACGACGTCGGGTGTGGCATGACATCACCGCCTTTGTACAGCAAACACGGTCAAATGACGTCAAGTGTGGCACGACATCACCCCCCTTGGACTACACGCATGGTCGAATGACGTCGGGCGTGACATGACATCACCGCACTTATATAGCGCACATGGTCGGCAACATCGGACGTGGCATGACATCACCGCCCTTGGACATTACACACGGTCGGCAACGTCGGGCGTGGCATGCCATAACCGCCCTTGGACAGCACACACAGTCAGACGATGTCGGGCGTGGCATGACATCACTGCCCTTGGACAGCAGACACGGTTAAATG